GTTTAGCTAAATTTCAACATGGCTGAAATATCACGTCGACCTAACCTATCACTAATGTCTAGGACAATGTGTTTCACGTAAATAACTGACTATCGAATCTCTACCGCCGTATGTAAATTTGGCCATTTTCTCATATTTTTACTAAATAGAGAACCTATTACTGTCGAATAAAAACTAAAGAGGTAGCAAACAATAACAACAACATTGAAAATACGGACCATTAAATATTTAAAAAAAAAAACAAAATCTAGCGGTGGGTATTAAGCAAATACCTATGAAGAATGATATGTATTGCAATAGCTTTTTTTAAAATTCGGCTATAAAATAGAAACAATTAACACAATTTTTAACCTTAAGATATGAAGTCTGAAGATATAACTTAAATTAGAATGCATAATACACTATAATGAGGTAACTTATCATCAGTCCACCTTCTTAGTCGGCTTACAATGAAAAGTTCAATACTAAATTTTGCTTTCAATTCACCAACATTGAGAGGAGTATGACTCTTTTCTGTCTGCGATGACTACATCAAGCATTTTAACTGAACTACCGTTGCTTGCTAATAGCAGTAATATATGATGTACAATAAGGGCCCCGAAACTGAGCCTTGTGGCAAAGCGTAATATTTATTTTTTTAGGTACTACACATCTATATAGTTTTCTCAAATATAAGGAATGTCTAGGCATGGCATTAAATATTTATGTTACCAATATGGGATTCAGTCATCCCTCATTTAGCGCCGCCCCCCTCAAACAATATAAAAGCAGGTACAGAGTAAAATGCGAGCCAGTTTCAGTGAAGCTCTGAAGAAGCCAGCAGGATGACTGGCGACACGTTAGCTAGTTCGAGTCAACAAAAACTGACGCAGGAGGAATCCAGAAGTTTTAAAAAAAGTACTTATTATACTATCAGCCTAGGCAAGGCCTCTATATATGTATTATATGACTACATGGGTTTATCAAGCAGAAAAAGAAAAGTTAATCAGAATTAAAAGTAGAGGGCGCGCCAGGCCAGACCAAAAGCACCCATAGAATATACAAAACCCAGGAGTAGAATTTCAAACCTCTCCATTTCACGTCTTGTGTAGGTATATTTTAATTTATTACGACGTAACTAAATGATGACAGCAATGAGGGCTCGACATGTCAAAATGACATCAACCATTAACCACACTGAGTGAAGCCTCAGCTTCGCACCAATGATCACGAGATTTTCGCAATTGGATAGACCCAGATATCCCAAACGCTACGTCAGACGATGCCTGCAGGCGCTAAACCTAATATCAACGTTCTCGTCGCTCATCAAAATCACCATCGGGTCCGTCATGGTCAACAAACCGAATCTGAGAATGTTCGGAGTGACCAACATCGTTTTAGGCGTGTTCACCGTATTCGTCGCGTTGGAGTATTTCCAGGCGATCATCTTCAGGCACAAGAAATTGGCCGTGATCTACGCCGTCTGCTCCATCACCGCTACCAACGTGTTGGACCTGACTTTGACGTGCCAACATTACGTGAAACACAGGAACGTTCGGGATCCTCTTCAATCGAGAATTGGCGTTCCGATTGCAGTGGTGAAAGGAGTCCATTTTTTCGTCGTCTTCCTCTGGTTCGCTTACTACTGGAGAATCAGCGAAGTCACGATGGTCGCGTTCTCGAGTATAATATTGGCAAGACAGTCGATGGTTATGCCGGACACAAGCAGGTCCACAGTTCTGGCTATAACGTTGCCATCCTCGAAGAGTTCTGTCGTTCCCACGAGCGTGCAATTTGCACCGACCAGTTTGGGAGAGTCTAAAGAGGACGTGGTACTGACGAAACAGTCGAGCGATGTTTGACCATTGATTGAAAATAGACAAAGAATTAAGAACACGGCAGCGTTCTTGGTTAGTAAACCTGGGCAAGAAAAAAGAAAAGATATATTGGAAGAAAAAAATATGAGTTTGACAAGGGTCTGAAAACTTAACTTGATCCTATTTAATTAAATTAATAACACAAATGAATAATACTTAAAGTAAGAAAATATGTTGGGATACAATATATATTTAAGAATAAATAGATACAGCTTGACGCATAAAATTTTTAACATTTTGTAGAGGAACAAACGGCAGCTAAAGCTTAAGGTTTCTTTTTTTTTGACCAAGAAATTACTCAGGAGCTTCAGACGAATGTTCCAGTAGAGTGCTTATTTAAAAAGGTTAGAAAAAGTATGGACTCTGCGGGCACAGGTTGTTCATAATTTTGCAATGAAAGTGATGTTATTGAATTTAAAAAACTTACTGGGCAATTCAAAAATGATTAGTAAAAAAGATTTTACAGGCCTTATCTTGATCATAATCCAACTGTGGTGAACACGTAGAAAACGAGTGTATCAATAAAAACAAAAAAAAATGTCTGAATTACAGGCCATGATTCCCGAAAGGAAACAAATACAAAATATCTACGAAATACACATCGATTTACAATGTTCACCAAGAAACGAGGTGACTTGGATGGTAGCGGACAGCAAATCTTTGTCCAAGAAGTGGATTTTAGCAGCAGCTCTAAATCAAACGGACACCACCACTTTTCCACCACCACTGACTTTCAAGTAGGTTTAAATATTAACGAATTAAAAAGTATTCACAGCAGACAAGAGGTTATGCGAAAGCTTTTAAAATTTGAAGAGAAAGTCTGAAATTTGACGGAAATAAATGCAACCGAAAAACCTGTCATTACGGAACGTCAACTTGAGTTAAACCAGAAGAAAGTCTGTGAAACGAGGACAGAAAATAAACTTCTACTAGAGTGGCAAGTTATTTATTGTTCTCAAATTGTTAATTTGACGGTTATGAATAAGATAAAATTACTACGATTCATCAACAATTTTGTTGGCGAATCCGCCTCAAATAAGAAACAAGCTATTTTTGGAAAAAGCGCAATTAATAACGTTTAACGCGTAACGTATAAGCTGCCCACATACACGTGTTATATATCAAAGTTGTAACGGCGTAGAATTAGTAGCAAAAATGTCAAGCGAAATGCCGCGATATTGAATATTACCAAGTCAACAATTTCCGGCAATAAATTTTCTTTTTGCACTAGCAACCGGCGATTCAGTTTTACAAATATTTTGCGCTTTCTGTGTAGTGCACGGGTGATCTAAAACATTTTTTAAGTAGCTCTGCAGACCTAACAAAGCTGATACTATTTACAAATCTTCTGGATTCCTCCACAACACAATCCACTCCACCAGAACCACCCAAAGAAAAATCCAAAAGCACTCCCACACGTGCCACCTTATTTTGATTCAAAAGCTCACTGACCAAATTTCAAAATTTCCTAAGAAATATAACGTGAAAACCGGTTTTACCACTGGTCCTAAAATCTCTCAACATTTGAGATCCGTCAAAGAGAAAAATTCAATTTTGGATATCAGGAGTTATAACATATGCAGCAATGAGGACGCAAGATATTTATTTACATTTACAAAATTAAAAATTCGGGAATATTGGAGTGGTTCGTGATCATCATCATCACCAGCCTTCTTGTCTTGTCCATTCTCGAACGTAGGACTCCTCCAGGTTTTTTCATTCTCTCCTATTCTTTGCTGTCTGCATTCAATTTGTACTTATTCTCCTAAAATCGTCGATCTTCTCTCTATACCTCTTTTATCCACTCGAGGTCTCCACCCTAATATTCTCTTTGTTCATTTGCCGTTTTGTGGCCTCCACTTTGCTCTTGTGATAAGTTCTGTTAAATCAATAGTGAAACTTCCGAGCTACTTTCCAAAAATACTGAAAAATTAATCTCCCAATGGTGCCCCGGTTTTGTCAATTCTACAATCTCCAAGAGTAACTAAATTGAATTCCAGAAAAACTTGGTTAATTGCAAAGGAGTGATGCAAATCGTAAATTACACACGTTTGAGGATTTTTTTTCGTAATTCAACGAAACATTTGGATTTTTTGTTCCTCCTTCACCATTTTTGCAAGATCTTCCAGAAAAATAATAATGTATATGGAGTGCTATGTAAGACGATCGAGACTATTCAATTTAAAATGATCCGAATACATTTTTTGATTTTGAACATCCTGTAGCATCTAATTCAAATTCAAAAACTGAAAATACTGGAAAAACTATTAGGTCTAGATATGTATTACTATTTATAAAAAAAAGTTGAAGATTTTTAAAAGGAATTCAAAATGGGGCGTTCCATTGAAAAAAAACGTTTTATTCATTGCGCTTTTTTGAGCCACCCTATATACATTAAAATAAATTTAAATTATGCGCCCCGACCATTTTTACATCTTTTGTATTTGTCATTTTTTCATAACTTTTGATAGCAATAAGATTATGAAATTTACTGAATTTAATATTTAGCCATACAGCATCGAGATAATAAATGTGAAAGACATAAATCAAGCTAGTTCCATTCTAATATTAGAAAAATTATAGAATAGAAACTTCATTAAAGCAAAGGTAAAAGTAAAGGTAAAAGGTATTTTTTAATAAGATGTACAAGTGTACAATCTGACTTTACTTTTTTTGTTATTTGCTTGTATCCTTCCATTTTTGTGTAAACAAAAAAATATTTATTATATAGAATGTGTTTTTCATTATACAAGGATTGTATCTACTACGTACTGGTATTTTCTAGCCCAAAGCATACCTCAACGTAAATAGAACATTTAAAGTTCAAGAAACGACTAACCTTTTGTATTATTTTGCATTCTAAATATTTTATGCAATAAAAATTACTGTTTCAGTCCGACGAGACGAGACGTGTAATACGTCAATATGCGCTTCGGCTGACGTCACTGACAAGTATTTGCGGGGGCTGAGGTGAGGGGTAGCTTTTACGGATATTTTACTCGGTCTGCATAGGCAACCCGCGTTAATACTACGCGTGGTCGTCCGCGCACGCGCATGCCGACCGACGACGGCGATGATTGCGCAATGTTATGAATACAATAATTATATTGTGATGTTTACGTGCTGTGAGAATATAGTTGGCCAGCGGACAGCCATTGTCATTAGAATTGTATAAGCGAGTCCATCCCCAATTAGTTTCGCGTTGTGCTGTTGTTGATTTTATTAACGTTTTATTAGTGAGTGATTTTCGAGAAATGAAACGCGCACTGAATATATTTCAAAGTAAGTACCTATCAGTTAAGTGCCATTTAAAACAATATTTCGCGAGATTGCCCGAAACTACTAGTTTCGCTGTGAATTGCATCATGCGGACAGACCTAACCTATAAACATATGATGAAGCGTTATTTTGCGAGTTCTTTTAAAGTTGTATATCGTTCTCGTGATAAAATTACTGTTGCTTGTTTTAATGTCACTCTAATTAACACCTGCAATATTGTTGGTTAATACAAACGCTATAATTTAGCAAAACAAATATTTAGTTTAGGCTCAAAGACCGCAATTACTTTTACTTCGAGCGTCGGACTGGGAGTTTTATAAAGAATCAGTGGAGAGGCGCAAGTTATAATGTAGTACCGTTCGTAGTGTAATTATACTGGAACATCATTTGTATTTTATCAACTTAACTTACCATATATTCAACATAAGTATTATTTGTGAATATTTGCTGCCACTATGCTTTATACGATGCTTATCAAAGATGCGTAAACCATAATACATACAAATGTTTGCTAGTTTTATCGCAAAAGGGCTATATTGTAACCCAATGCTTAAAATAATACCTTGTATTTGAAATTTCCTAATTTTTAATCCATTTCGAAACTTAAATTCATTCAACTCTCAGACTAGAAGGATTTTGGGTCGACACCAAGGAAACAGTTTTATCAATGTGAGGTTTACCAAAAAATAAATGTAAATAAACAATAGAAAAGCAACATTCATGAAAACGGTAAATCTAAATTATATGAAAGGTGTAGATTTTTAAAATTACAATAGAATGTACAGCGTGTCCCGTTTTTAAAGTTCCAGCTTTCGTTTCCCAAGGCTACGAATTTTTAGATTTCCAGATGCAAGGGAGGGTGATTTTGAATTTTGGATTTCCTTGTTTAGACACAAAAACCAAACTCGTTAGTTTTTTTTACCAGAATAGTGTGCAAGTGTTTTAAACGCCTTATTGTTAGTTTGAAATAAGCTTATTGACATAAACCGTAGGGGCACAGCATTTCAAACAGTAATTACCATATGTTATCACTGTTCGATAGGTAAAGTAGACACTTTTTTATATGAAAAAAGTTTAAAATTGAATGTGAATGTTATTTTTTATTTCAATTTCATATTTGAGTTTCGAATAGCTCTCATATCTTTGAAAAGCTCATAAACAAGCGTAATAAAATACATGGAGTTCCGTTTTACCCAATTTGATGTAAAGCCTCTGAAACATGCTTTGCTTTGGCCGCCTATTGTAATTAATTTGCATATAACATGCAAACAATGTGTGGCATTTCAAAATTGGTGAATTTGTCATTTCCCCGTCACTTTTTCAGACTTACAAATATGAAAACAACGCCAAAATGCTTCCGAAGCTTTTGACATTTATTATAGGTCTCATTTGTCCACGATTGCGTCGCCATCTGACTGAACTGCGTGCATTGAGTCGTTAAAGTTTGATTTTATCGAAGACTACGCGATTTATCGAATTAATTCAAAATTTTAAAAAGTGTCCGGTAAAAAAGTGATAATGAAAAGATTCAATTTCCCAAACTTAAAGTTATTTTCTTTAAAGAATTTTTTTTTGACCCTTCGATTCACCATTTTCAACCAGCGGGTATAATAAATAAAAAAAAACAGACAGCGGGATCATAGGTTCTCATTTCTTCGTTAATATTTATCCAAATTTTCTTCAAAACGAATTAGAGAACCATACGAATGAGCTCCCATTGGAACAACTCATTGTGTAGTATTTGTTAAAGACTAATTAAATAACCGATTGGAAAAGATGGAACAATAAAATGGCCACCCAACGGGCCTGACCTAACGTCGATGGATGCAAATACATCAATACCATCCAAAACAGAGAGCATCTAAAAAACTTGAGCAAAACAGAAGTTCAAATAATAAAAGAATCTATCAATTACAGAGAACATTCACTAGATATATTGAAGAAAATGGGCGACTAATCGAAAAAATACTTTGTAAAATTAATTACCTACATATACTATATTATACCTACTTAAATTAATTCTAGAATATTTTTCAATGTTAATAATTAAAGTTAACAAACACTTCGAAAACTAATGAATTTAGGTATAGGATACAGGTATGTGCAGGATAAATAGAAATGTTCTCTTTTTTTTGGCTAAGCTGGTTGTTTGTTGAAATTTTTCAAAGATTCCAAATATATCGATAGGCGATCGATATATCCCAAAAACAGGAAATATACAGAATTGCCGGGAGATTTTATTCAGTGTATAATATACAGGGCGTTTCCTTAAAAAATACATAACTTTTATCTGTGGGTGATTTCTGCACATAGAAATATGTATTATGTTATAATAATATTATTAAAGTATAATACGGCGCTATTTCTTCAACTTTATGAATGTCCTACTCATTATTTCTGTATCCCTGGGCAACTTCTAGCAGCTCTGATGTCAAATAGCAGTCGTCAAAGAAAATATCTTTTCGAGCAATTTTTTGGCTTCTTTTGCGAGAATGATAGGAAGCGTTATTCATAATAACAACATTTTTCCATTCAGTTTTTATTACCTATTTTAAAAATTAATTCAAAACCTTTATTCTAATCTTCAAATAAGTAAGTACTTAAAATAATATTATCTATCTGTATAACGCAGGTATTTTCTGGGCTGAACCGACTCTGAAGCTGCCATACGCCATGTGTCGACTCTGCTGCTTTCTATGCCTATGGTATAATACGGTCAAAAATATGGTGCATTTATTGCTGTGACGTCTTAAGTAAATGAACCGTTTGAAATTTGATTAAGCATTGATGCTGCGGGGTATTTTCGTATAAGGAGAAGCGATTATTTTAACATCAGGTGCAAAAAAGATTGAAAAAATACTTACATGTCGCTTGTTAGTGTGGGTAGATAAATTCCTAGGATGCTCCTGGAATGGTTACGGGTAAGGGTCTGCTCGGCAGAGTGTTCTATAAGGGGTTGCGATTTTAAACAGTAGGCAGAGTTAATCACGGGGTCTTTTGTCAAAGCACTATATTTCTGGTCAAAGTATATCCACACTGCATTCTCTTTGTGACATGGACTATAGAGTCTACAGTTACACTGTGACCTATTGGGATCACCCTGTATATAACCCCGAGAAATTTGATAGATAGAAAACATAATTTTCGGACGTAAAATTTGAAAATCAAAGCCAAGCAGGGACACCCTGTAATTAAAACCGGTTAATTATTTACCGGGTTTAACGATTTAATTGAAAAATTTTTACGTGCTGCCACGAGACACTCCCCGTCTCGTTAACATTTCAGTTTTTTACGCCCTCCCCACCCGTTTTTTTTTTGCGAAACGCACGAGTGCGGCGGGAAAAAAATCCGGGAAACTGGTAACGACGAGCCGATCGGTCGCGAAACAATAATTATTTGTCCCCCGGAATGCATTAACAAGTTTACAATCCGCTCGTTAGGACATATCTGGGCGCTTTTTTTTGTGCGAAACTAAATACGCGAGTTTCATATTATTTATGAAGTAACGTGAAAGCTTTATATCAAGCGTCAACCAGCTGCACGCGAGCGACTCAAAAAAAAATATATGTATATACCGGACGATTTTTAATAAGCGCAGGGGTAATTATTTTTCTTATAAATATTTCGCGACAGTTTTGCGGGAATCGAAAGAAAAGGCTCATTAAATCGCGACTGTTTTTTTTTTAGAACTTCCGTTTAATTATAAGGCTGCGAGTTCGATCTGAACTAGAAGGGCAATAGAAAAAGACAAATGGCCCGGTGTGCCGGCTTGCCTTTGAAATCCGCAAAATCTGCGTGAAATGACTGAAAAAAAAACTAGTTCATTCTTACAAGATGTTAAAATAATATCTATTTTCTGAATCGACTTAATCGTCAGCAGTCCAATACATAACACATATCGTTTATTGTTGTTTGGAGATCAATGAAACATTGCATTTGATTATGCAGCTTATGAGTTCCCATAGGTTTCAGTCTATACAGTCCAGTCTAATGATAATTTATATCTGACGAGGTACATCTGGGGTTCCTTTTAGGACCCTTAACCGTTGTCCTTTATATGTCACTGCGATACTGTAAAATATATTCGTTAACGGTACTGGTATTTATTTTTCTTTTGGTATGGAGCATTTCTTGGAGTTTATCAGATATATTAATGAGGAGTAAGTAATCTTCCTAAAAAACCAACTTAAAACTTGGGGAGACTGGAACCTGTGGTGGAAGATCAACAAACTTACGTTTATAACCACTACTGCACCACAACTTTATTTAGAACACTGGACACGGCATCATCGGCAGATGATATAAACTATTATATAAGTTTATATCATCTGCCGATGATGCCAACATGGTTCGCGAAACACGTGTGCAGTGTTCTAAGTAAAGTTGTGGTGCAGTAGTGGTTATAAACGTAAGTTTCTTCAACTTAAAACTTAATCATTTTATGATATTTGGGAGCAAGAGTAAAGTAAATGTTGATATCTCCAGAGGCAATACTAAAATTGGTTTAGTTGATGATAATAGTAATCGATATTAATCTTAGGTTTAAAACACCTGAAAAATATATTCCAAAGTGCTTTTTTGTCTCTAAAAATACTTTACGGCACCCGATATATTTCAAATTTCAAACTAAGGAAAACTTTATGTGGAACCTTAGTGTCGAACAATGATTATGTTGTCTGCCTCGATGGGGACATCAAAACCAGAATGCAAAGACTCCAATACCTGATTCACTCATAATGTTCATAATATTCAAATGAGGTATAAGAACTAATTGTCTATTCCACCCCATCAGAATTGGCAGTCGATTAATTCAACAAACAAAATTGACATTCATAATGTTATAAGACATTAGGGCGTAAGATAAGGTGACAAAAAATATTTTTTCATTTTTTTTCTATTTGACTTTAATTGTAATTTCTTATTGGCAGAAAATTAAAAACGATCGCAATACATTTTTGAAAAACAAATTTGTGTAGTTTATTCTTATTATTTCTACTTAATAC